ATAAATTAATGACTGTCACTTTTTGTTAATGTTGAGAACTGCTGACTATGTAGTCTCTTACATCAGAGCTCTGCAGTTCTCATGGATAACAATATGAAAGCAGAGGGATAATCTACTTTTTAAATTTTTTTTTCAAGAAAATGAAAAATGACATAATTCATCCAAGAATGAAATTCTACATATTAGTTTTTCTTAAGCTACATTTTTGTGAATAAAAGTCCCTGACTCAGAGGGAGTTTAGAAAAGGCATACAGACAAAAGAAGTCACAGTGTCAAATATTTTAGCCATTAAAGCATAAATCAGCTGCAGTTCTTCAGTGAGATAGTGTCTCAGGGAGGAAAAGAGACCTTTTTAATAATGTTTTTTTCATAGACAGAAGGCTGATTTCCATTTCCACATTTCTAAAATAGATTATGTGACTGAGTCAGTCCATGTGAGATACTTTTATTTTCTTCTTTTTACCAAGTCTTTTCATCAAGTCTTCCCTCTTTTCCCCGTCTCCCGCCCACGCCCCCCCATCATAAATACCTGTATGTGACCAGTTGAGTTGATCAAGGTGATAGAATAAAATCTTTCGGAAACAATTTGAAATCCCTATTCATTTCTCCAAATTGGAAGGGAAGAGGTTAATATTCATCATATGCAGATGACATGATGCTTTATATAGAAAACCCTAAAAACTCCACACAAGAACTTTTAGAACTGATAAATGAGTTCAGCAAGGTGTAGGATGCAGTACTAACATACAGAAATCTGTTCCATTTGTTTACACTAACAATGAAAAAGCAGAAAGAACAAGTTTAAAAAAAAAATCCTGCTTAAAATTACATCAAAAAAGATAAAATACCTGGGAGTAAACCTGACCAAAGAGGTGAAAGACTTACATGATGAGAACTGTAAAACATTGATAAAGGAAATTGAAGACAGTTCCAAGAAATGAAATTATATCCCATGCTCTTGGGTTGGAAGAATTAATATTGTTAAAATGGTCATACTGCCCAAAGCAATCTACAAATTTTGATGCAATTCCTATCAAATTACCTATGACATTTTTCACAGAAGTGGAACACATACTCCTAAAACTTATGTGGAACCACAGAAGACCCAGAATTGCCAAGGCAATTCTGAGGAAAAAGAACAAAGCTGGAGGCATTAACCACGACCCACCTCCCAACTTCAGACAGTATTACAAAGCTACAGTAGTAGTAGTTGTTTCAGTTCAGTTCAGTTCAGTCACTCAGTCGTGTCCAACTCTTTGCGACCCCATGAATCGCAGCACGCCAGGCCTCCCTGTCCATCACCAACTCCCGGAGTTTACTCAAACTCATGTCCATCGAGTCATGGTGATACCATCCAGCCATCTCATCCTCTGTCTTCCCCTTCTCCTCCTGCCCCCAATCCCTCCCAGCATCAGGGTCTTTTCCAGTGAGTCAGCTCTTCGCATGAGGTGACCAAAGTATTGGAGTTTCAGCCTCAGCATCAGTCTTTCCAGTGAACACCCAGGACTGATCTCCTTTAGGATGGACTGGTTGGATCTCCTTGCAGTCCAAGGGACTCTCAAGAGTCTTCTCCAACACCACAGTTCAAAAGCATCAATTCTTCTGTGCTCAGCTTTCTTCACAGTCCAACTCTGACATCCATACATGACCACTGGAAAAACCAGTTAAAACAACATGGTATTGGCGTAAAATCAGACACATGGATCAGTGGAACAGAGTAGAGAACCCAGAAATAAACGCATACACCTATCAATTAATCTTTGACAAAGGAGGCAAGAATATACGTTGGAGAAAAGACAGTCTCTTCAGGAAGTGGTGTTAGGAAAGCTGGACAGCCACATATAAATCAGTGAAGTTAAACTCCCTCACACCACACACAAAAATAACTCAAACTCAAAATGTCTTAAAGACTTAAATATTAGACATGACACCATAAAACTCCTAGAAGAGAACATAGGCAAAACATTCTCTGATGTAAATCCTAGTGATATTCTCTTAAATCAGTCTCCCAATGCAAAAGAAATAAAAACAAAATAAACAAATGGGACTTACTCAAACTTAGAAACTTTTGCACAGCTAAAGAAGTCACAGACAAAAGACAACCTGTGGACTGGCAGAAGATACTTGCAAACGACATGACCAACAGGGGCTTAATTTCCAAAATATATAAGCATTTCATACAGCGTAATATAAAAAAAAAATAGAATTACCATATGATCCAGCGATCACACTCCTGGGCATATATCTGAGGAAAATTATAACTCCAAAAGATATATGCGGGTACTTCCCTGGCAGTCCAGTGGTTAAGACTGCACGTTTCCACTTAGTTCCACTTAGTTCCATCCCTGGTTGAGGAACGAAGATCCCACAAGCTGCGTGGTGCGGCCAAAATATAAAGATGCACACACATACACACGAAAGATACATGCACCAGTGTTCATAACAGCTCTGTTTACAACAGTCAAGACGTAGAAGCAACCTAAGTATCCATCAACAGATGAGTGGATAAAGGAGATGTGGTGTACACACACACACACACACACACACACACACTCTCTCTCTCTCTCTCTCTCTCTCTCTCTCTCTCTCTCTCTCTCTCTCTAGAATATTACTCAGCCATAAGAAAGAATGAAGTAATGTCATTTGCAGCAACATGAGTGGACCTAGAGATTATCATACTAAGTGAAGAAGTACTAAGGTGAAGAAGTCAGACAGGGAAAGACAAATATATGATGTCTCTTATATGTGGAATCTAAAAAAGATGATACAAATGAACTTGCAAAACAGAAACAAACTCACAGACATAAAAGATGTACTTACAGTTACTAAATGGGAAAGGGGAGGGAATGGATAAATCAGGAGTTTGGGACTAACAGATGCACACTACTATATATAAAATAGATAACCAATAAGGACCTACTTATAGCACAGGGAGCTCTATTCAGTATCTTGTAATAACCTATAATAAAAAAGAATCTGAAGATGAATATATAAAATATATATAACTGAATATATTATTTGATTCACTTAAAAGTGAATCTTGCTGTTTTATATTTATTCAAAATTACAGCAGTTACAATTTTTTAGACATTTAATTATTTTGCCCTTATGATTGATACCTCAGGTATTTTGTTCCCTAAAGTCCAGCAGTTTCCTAAATTGATTTTAATTATGTAGGTTTTATGCATTCAGTCAGTATTGGAAAGATAGGAGTAAAAATGAAAAATTCAATATGTGAGCATTGTAAGACTATTGTGGATCAGCTGCTTAGGTTTGAACATTCAATGGCTGAATGGTTTTGAGCAAGTTACTTAAACTCTCTATGCCTGTGTTCCTAGGGCACTAGTTACTGTGCCCATGAATTGCTACTGTTTCACCTTCATCAAGGGCCAAATGGTGGGAGATTCTGGGAGAGGGTAAGAAAGCAGAAGTGGGGATTGGGAATGTTGACTCCACCTTTCTGGAATCACAGTCTGTGAGAGGTGTGTGACTCTTGCAAGTTTCCCTTGCTGCTCCCACTGACACCACCACAGGGTTTCCTGGGGATTGGGGTGTGAAAGAACAAAAATAAGTAAGTAAATAAAAGGGATGGGGATTCCTATATTTGAGGATAAGGTATTCCCATACCTGGTCCTTGAGCCAGAGATAGAGTGCTTTTCCCAGAGTTCTGACTGTGCCATAGCACTCCCTTTTGGATATCTGGCCGTGTTAAGTTCAAGCTGGAGGGACCAAAAGGAGGAGGAGGGGCATGGGAGGTAAAGTCCCTGCCAGTTCAGAAATACCTTGAATTCTGATATTCTCTGATTTATCTTACACTCTGTACAGAGAACTCAGATAGGTGCTACATGCATTCTATTCTGGTTGTATGATTTCATTCAGAGTGTGGGACAGGATGCCGTGCTATGCTAAGTCACTTCAGTTGTGTCCAACTCTGTGTGGCCCTATGGACTGTAGCCCACCAGGCTCCTCTATCCATGGGATTCTCCAGGCAAGAATACTGGAGTGGGCTTCCATTTCCTTCTCCAGGGGATCTTCCCAACCCAGGGATCGAACCTGCATCTCTTTAAGTCTCCTTCATTAACAGTGGGTTCTTTACCACTAGTGCCACCTGGGAAGCCAGGACAGGGTAAGGCGTGTCTACTCCCATCTTACCAGAACCAGACTCTAAATTTCCTTTTAAAACAGCACTTATGATATTGCCATCATCCCTTGTACTTTCTAACCCAAGACTATTCCCATACTAAGATACAATTTGAATAATAGTACTACCTTGCAAAAAAAAAAAAAAGCTTTTTAGCTCTCCATTGTCTCTGGGCTTCAGTACAGACTCATTTCAGTATTCAAGTTTCATAGCTGCATATACCTCATATTCTTGGCAGATGAGGAATACTTGCTGATGTATTGTTATTCTAGTCCACACCTATAGCTTTTGTTAAATTCTCCCTGCCTAAAATAGTTTTCCAGCCTTTCCCATACGGCTTCTTCAAGTTCTATACATATTTTAAAGCTCAGATGTACTGTCTTAAAATTTTAGTTTTCATCCCTCTTCTTATGTGCTTCCCATAGAAAGAGTATGTGATCTCTTCAGGCCTTGAATAGCTGTTATTTTTCTTTGTACATTTTCAGTATATACACACACACATGCTTTGTTTTAGGATTATTTTTTATGTCTAGAGATACAGTGTCTAGCACAAGCTTTTATGCCTCAGATTCAGTAGATTCAGGTAGCGTTTACCTGAATGTTAGCTTGACATTTACCTTTCCTTATCATATTCTTTTCCACCTACTTCCCTTTAACAACTCTTTGAGACCTTTATTCTAAATCTCATTCATATGAGGACACCAAGGATAAGTAAAGTCACATTATCTTAACTGTTCTGTAACGCTATGAGTTTCTTGAGTGGAATTTTGGTATTCAATTTTCTACCACATAATGTCTGCCATATAGTAGCCACTCAGTCAGCACAGCAGTATCCCTAACTGTCCTCTTCTTTCTACAGTACCTTGGGCACGTAGAAGTTGATGAATCAAGAGGAATGCACATCTGTGAAGATGCTGTAAAAAGATTGAAAGCTGTATGTATTGGATGGTTGCCAGTGTTGCTCTATATGCCATAAACACTCTCTCAAAAGATTTTGCTCAGTAAATTTCATTGACCCACTATCCAGTAAGATCAGTGTTCTTTTAAGGCAAAAGATGTGCGCTCATTAATAAAGAGCATTTCATGTTGTCCATCCAAAGACGTAAGTTTTAATGACAAGCTTCTTCAGTGTAGGCCAGACATTATCTAAGATAGTTTTAATTCAGAACCCATGTTAAACTAGTGGTATGAACTCTTCTAGATGAACTCTTATAGATATTCTGAAACCAGGGTAAAACTATTTCAGTTAGTCACTTAACCTAACTGTGATAACTGGGTTCCCAATAAGTAATTTTAAATCTGTAGGAAACAGCTTTCCAGGAAAAAAAGTATAAAATAGAGATATCTGTTAATGGCTAGTGAGGTTTATTTTGGGGAGACTTACTATCATTACTGCTCCTCCCCAGTTTCCTTCCCTGTACTCCTCTAACATTAAGTATTTCCCTGCCTTTTGCACAAACTTCAGCATACTTGAAGTGGAGAGTCCTTTTCAAGGATCAGTAATGTCTATTTTGCCTGTTATGCCATAGAATACATCCCAGGCACATGCCTGTGTGTTTAATAAAAGGAGTTCAGAGTTCATAAAGATTCAGGTTCAGGTGTTAACTTCATAGTTTGGATAGGTTTGAAGAATGTTTCTTAGATTCTGACAGCCTTTTCACAGCCTTCCTTTTCTCCAATGTGTGGCCTTTCCCGCCTTTGCTATGAAAGCTTTAAGCATTACTTCTGCATGCCCTTGCCCCAGACGGCATTAAATACTTGTTGCTTTGGGTTTGCTGGTATGCTAGGCTGCCACAAGTTTGGCTACTAATGAATGAGTGCTTTTTTTTTTTTACCCCTCAATTTGCTTAATCAAAACTTTTCTGCTTCTTGGTATATTTTATATGACCTCTTATATGTAATTCCTCAATATAAAAGATATAAAATCAAGGAAGCAACCAACTCGTTCAAGTGGATTGTGTTTTCCAGCAAATGTCTAAATTGATTATAGAAAGGAAAGGAGGAGAAAAATAACTGATTATGGTATGCAAAAAACTTTTAAAAGGACAACCCAGAACAATATACAGATACACACACATATCCTTTACCCCAGATTTTGGTTATTTAAATTCTTAAATGTTTGAATGCCGTCTTAGTTTTATCTGTGCTCTTCATTTAATCATCATTAATGTTAAAGGAACTTCATAGTTTTATAGACTTGCCATGTCCACCTAAATATGTTCCCCAGTTAAATGCAGCCTCAGATAATACAGTTTTCCAAGAAACTTAAATTCAGTCTCTTATTTAACAAAATAATTCTAAGTTCACTAAGAGAATAAGATTAGGAACACTTTTAAAACTTTTTAATTGAAGGATGATTGCTTTACAAAGTTGTGTTGGTTTCTGCTGTATAGGAACATGAATCAGCCATAAATATACATATACCCCCTCCTTCTTGAACCCTCTAGGTTGTCACAGAGCACCGGGCTAAGCTCTCTGTGTCAGTTTCCCATTTGTCAATACTCAATGAAACTTCCCCTTCTACTAATACCCTTTCGAATGCTGTATGGAAACAGTTGCAGAAAGTTGGAATTCTTCAGATGTTGTTCATCCTCAGATCATATCATGTTAGTCTAAAAAAATACATGATTTTTATTTTTTCGTATTTTTACTACATAGAAATTTCTAGATGCCTTTTTTCCTCCTTGTACCAAACATTCATCTAACAAACATCTGTAATCTACTGTGCTCTAGATGCTTATGTTATGCCAAAAGCTGTGTCTGGAGATGTGTTTATTTTCATAGATGATAGATACTCTTCTTAAGAGTTTCAAATAAATGGAAGCAAACATAAAAATGTACAAACCTACAGACTGAAGAAGAAATAACATGTCTGGAACAAGTTTGAATGCCAAAAAGTTTTAAAATTTAAAGAATTACATAGCTCAGATGTACCAGTTAAATAGGAAAACAAACAGTCTTAAACCTATCACTCAAATGATTATTGAACTAAAAATATAGTGTTCTAGTGCTTTTTAAATTTGTGGGAGATTGAAGAAGCAAGATAATTTTCAAATACAGTTTTTTTATTTCCTTCCAAGTGATTCCTTAAAATTTAGGATTACTTTAACTTCAATTAGAAGTTATCAACATGCTTAATAATCTCATATGAAAAGATATTGTAATTAAACAACATATACTACTCAGCATAGATATGTTTAATTTTTTTAATATTATATTCATAAAGTTAGGTACAGTATTTTCAATTTATTTACTTTGTGGCATAATTTACTTAGCCACTTCGGGGTATAGATTGTATAAGATAAATGACAGAATCAACTGTTGCCCATTTTCAGTGCCTTTATGACATAGTTGCAGAGTAAGAAGTACTAATTTTGTAAAAAGTGTTTTGGGCCTTTGGTTATCTTGCTTGATACTGGTGCAAGATGACCTTTTAAAATGTCTTTTCTTCCCATTGTCTCTGTAAATGTCTTTCCCACTCTGTCTTGGTTTTAGACTAGTTTCATTACACTACCAGTTTCTAATATGTTGGTTTTTTATTCACTATTTGATATATTTGTTTTAATATATGTTCTTATTTTAGCAGGTAAAAGAATCATAATTGTTTTTTAAATTAGTTTTATTCTCTAATCTAATAACTGTCTCTTGATGCATTTTGCACGTCATCTTTTTTCATTAACATCTGAGGTCTTTTATAAAAAGAAGGCAAACTCCATGTTTAACAGGAGCTTTTCTGGGAGCTAAATTAAATATTAATGAATCTTCTTCTGATACCGTCCTGTTCCTAAAGAATGGTGAATCTTTTAACATGGCCTGCATCTTTTAAAAGCTGGTGGTTACCTAAAAGTCTAACAAAACTAGAGTCACCAAACTTGGCAGCAGAAATAAGCTTAGTCTTACTGTGTAACTACCCACTCTCCTTATTATATTTCTAGCTTAAATTGAAAACATTTTGTGGAAATATTTGATGCTGTTTGTGATTTTTCAAAACCTAGAGAAAAAGCTATTTAGTGTTTGAGAATATTGAATGAATTTATAAATTATATGTTGTTGTTCAGTCACGTCCGACTCTTTGTGACCCTGTGGACTGCAGCTTGCCAGGTACCTCTGTCTTCCATGATCTCCCGAGTTTGCTCAGATTCATGTCCATTGAGTTGGTGATGCTATCTAACCATACCGTCCTCTTAGATAAATTATCTCAGAGAGTCAAATTTCTGTACAGTTGTTTTTTTCTAGGCATTTGTTCACTGTTAATAACAGTTTATAAAAGGCAAAGGCTTAAAGTATAGTTCAGCCAAAATGAAGAAATGTTAAAGTTAAGCTAGCGTGGGTGAGTTAGAACTCATCTACTTTGCATAAATTCTTCAGACTTTACATGGTGGCCAGTTTTCAAAATTTGTATATGCTTAAAAATTTTGTGCTGGGATCACAAACACTTGTCTCTTTTTTACCTACACATACTTATAACTGTCAATGGGAATTTTTTTATTCTAAAACAGAATTTTAAAAGAAAATACGACCATATTCCTCAGATTTCAGCTGTGGCTCACAGATGTGGTTTGGTTCTCAAATATATTAGTTTTCTCAACTCCAGTGAAAGCATTGGTCTTGTGTTCTTTATAGACGAGTTATTCTGTGTTTGAAATCAAAGATATCTATTAATTCCCCATGATTGCTATGGAATTGATCAGCACATACATACATATAAATCAGTCCTAATGCATTAGTAAGAATTCTTCAACTCAGCAAGAAAAAGTCTGACAAGGACCCTCGCTGCACACTTATAATTTAAGTGTAGCATTTTTTAATGTTACTGTGTGATCATTTGAGTGTGGTTTTTTAGTTGGTTACTTCCACATATTCAACCACTGATTTTAAATTGAAAAATGTGTATCTATCAATATATTTACCACTTACTATTATGAAAACTTAAATGCAAATCTCACCAAATCAGTATGTCATAATCTTTTTCTCTGCTGCCAAATTTGAATAATCTGTTTTATAAGTCAAAAGAGAATGCTAAAGTAACTAGTTGCTCTGCATGAATACAGGTTCTGATTTCATCTCTTTCTGTGGATTCTTAGGCCGTACAGTATGTTTCCCTGCATTTTCATGCACCCTTCCTTTTTCCCTGTCACTCCTGGTATGGATAACTCTTTAAAACTCTCCCTCCCTCCCCTTCTCCTACTTTGCCCTTCACCTACCCTCTGTGTGTGCTTATTGCTGTGAAACCCTGGGACATTTAGCCCATACAATAATAGCGCTCGACTTGTCCCCCTGTTCCTCCAGGAAAGGAAGTTCTTCAAAGGCTTCTTTGGAAAAGTAAGTTTGATGCCACATTCGTGCCTTGCTTTATAAGGAGTTACACCCCTAGTATAGCATTGATGTATTTTTTAAAAAGAAGTACAGCTTTGGTTTCTTTATAATACAGGAACTGATTTGATGGAATATGGAAATTAATGAATCTGGAAGCTGCTGTCTATATTACCTGTGTGTTTGTTGATACTAAATCTCATAATTCCTAGGAAAGTCCAATAAATAAATCAAGTAGGTTAAAAAAGAATTGCTTTCTCAAAACTAGGTGTTAAATTTAATTTGATTTAGCAAAATTGTTCATATTAGAATATTTTTGAACAAGTAGGCTTTACTTAGTGCTCTATATTGACAGAGAAGTAGGAAGAAATACTAAATTCAAGTGAAAATTAAATGTATCCCCAATTTTACATTCATTGCTATCACTTTTTTTGAATTTAAGTTAAATTTCAGGTGAAATAAGTAAAGTATGTGAACTTATCTTTGGGGATTCTATGGTTTTTAACCTGGGATGGTAATTTAAGAAAAACTATCTTAATTAGTAATCTGTCAAATGTATATCATATGTGTAATGTTCTTTATGTAGGTGCTTTTTAAAGAATGATTGTTCAGTGTTCATATTTCCTTATAATATATAGGATGCCAATACAAAAATAAATTTCTAACATTTTTGTGTCTAAGCTTATTGTTTAGTTTTGAGTTAAGTGCCACAAAATAATTCAGACTGAGACAGTATAAGAAAAAACTACTGTCATTTTTATAACTCAGTGTACATTACTAAAAGTTTATGTGTTTATGTGAATATAAAATATAAAAATCCCATCACAGTTAATTTTTCACTGGGTGGTTTTGTTACTTTAAAGAATAAATTTTTTTCTTTTTGGACACACCACATGGCATGCCGCATCCTAGTTCCCTGACCAGGGATCAAACCTGTGACCCCTACAGTGGAAGCTCAGAGTCTTAACTGCTGGCCTGCCAGGGAAGTCCCTAAGAAGACTAGTTTTTTGTTTTTTTTTTTTTAATTAATTAATTAATTTATTTATTTATTTATTTTACAACCATAGTGTATCTTTTTTTTTTACATGTATTCCCCATCCCGGTCCCCCCTCCCACCTCCCTCTCCACCCAATCCCTCTGGGTCTTCCCAGTGCACCAGGCCCGAGCACTTGTCTCATGCACCCAACCTGGGCTGGTGAACTGTTTCACCCTAGATAATATACGTGTTTCAATGCTGTTCTCTTGAAACATCCCACCCTCGCCTTCTCCCAGAGTCCACAAGTCTAACCCTAAGAAGACTAGTTTTTTAAAATCATTAGTTTCCATTTCTTTCTCAGTTAAGTATTTTAGTTGTAACTCCCCCCACCGCCGGCATGTTCTGGTTTAAGTTGGGCTTCCCTGTCGGCTAAGATGGTAAAGAATCTGCCTCCAATGTAGGAGACTTGGGTTCGATCCTTGGGTCAGGCAGATCCCCTGGAGAAGGGAATGGCTACTCACTCCAGTATTCTTGCCTGGAGAATTACATGGACAGAGGAGCCTGGCATACTCCATGAGGTCACCAAAAGTTGGACACAACTGAGCAACTAACACTTTCACTTCACTTCTGGTTTAAGCTACCATTATACTAAAGTAAACAAGTTGGAAGGATTTTAGATTGAATGGTTTATTCAGTAACTGCTATCAGTCTGAAATAAAAAGTCATGTAATGTATCCACACATGTCACAGTAAAACTTTTAGTAGGTATTTTGAGCCTGAATCAAATTAACAGGTCCATAGAATGTGAGTCACATTAACAGGTCCATTGACTATGGGATCTATATCTAGAAAGAATTAATCCTATAGACATTTGCATACTTATAAATAGGCATCCTGATTGTTAAGTGAATTTTTTGGTGGAGCATTTTTTCTTTTCCAAATATAATTTCTCAAAGCAATTTTACATGAACCCAATTAAAATATAATTTTAAGTATTTTCTAAGTGATCAGTTTTTAATGTACCTACTTTGGTAAAGCAGTCTTATCTATTAATGCTAGGATGTAGAAAATATCAATATGGTTTATTAAAAAATATGTTGAAGTGTGTTTTTTTTTAAAGGTTATAGCATCATGTTAAAGAACAAAAATAGCTATCATGTGAGAATCAGTTCCCAGGTGACAATATTCACTGCTGTGTATAATGAGGTCATTGCGCATCTAATGTCACTGAACTGGGTCACACCATGCTTCTTAGCTATTTTCACTGCATTTTGCTACATCGCAAATTTACATGGTATGAGAAAGAAAACTATGAATCATATCACTTAATCCTTGCGGTAAGCCTGAAATTATTATTTTCTCCTGTCTTACAGTGAGAAAACTGAAGTTTACAGAGGGTTAAGTGACCTGCCTGAATTCACAGATATAAAGTGGTAGAGTCTAGGATTTGAACTCAGATAATCTGATTTCAGAGTCTACATTGTTAAATCACTTTGCTATACAATCACTCTATTTCCAGATTATTTACAAGCAAAGTTTAAAAGATTTAACCTTAAAAAGATTTTAGTAAATAAAGAGCTTCTTTAAACTTTCTACCTTTCTTCTTTAAAGGTAGCAAATTAATTTTGGATTTTTGTCTCTGGTCAATTTACTTTATTATTAAGGCTTTAAAGAATCTTTTCCAGTGGTTCAAATAACATTTTATTTATCTAGAGATGTTTAAATCATACTAGTGAGATGTTCTTAAAAGATACTAATCTGTCCCATAATGTGAACAAATATGACCCTTAGAATTCTTTTTTTTCTTTTTTAAAAAATTTACTTATTTTTTAATTGAAGGATAACAGCTTTACAGAAATTTGTTGTTTTCTGTCAAACTGACCCTTAGAATTCTTTTTATTCTTCAGTTTTATTGAGATATAATTGACATACAGCACTGTATGTTTAAGGTGTACAGCATGATGATTCGACTTTACATGTCATGAAATAATTACTAGGATAAGTTTAGTGATCCTCTCCATCTCATAGAGATACAATATAGAAATCATGTTATTGTGGGGAGAATTCTTTTTATGGCCAGGCAGTTTATTCTTACGTACAGTTTTCTTTTAATTACAGTTAATTCATTCAAAGAGTTTGGAAACCAAGGTGGGGGAAAGCATCACCCATAATCTTTCCAGAAATTTACTTGTAAATGAAAACTTGTCTTGAATTTGGAGCCTTTTGTACTTTTCAAGTTGCCATCATTTAACTCACTTTCAACACTAATCTACAAGAAGTCATCTGGTGAAAGAGATTTAGTTTGTTGAGTTTGCTCAGTCATTTGTGTTTTGATGAAAGCTAAAAATGAAGAATCTCATAGAACAGTATGTTAGGGAGTGTTTATCTAGTGCAGCTCCTCATAAATTTTGATACTTTCTTAGCCTTCATGTTACATGTGTTTTAATGGTCCAACAGTTATCAAGAGTTTCCACCAAACATATTGCATAACAGTAGATGGGTGAAAGAATTATTAGCCCTAGTGAATTATTACTTCTCCTGATGACCAGGAGAACTGCCGCTGCTTTTCCCTTAGTTGTCCTGGACCTGAATACTCTGTCCTGTTCCCGTCGGGGGCCTGACCTCCCTGTTCCTCTGTCTAATGGAAGCAGTACTTTCAAAAGCTTTATTAATGAGGAACAGATAAACCTGGGTGTCTTACAGATCTGTGTTATTAACCCATTGTAAGATTACATACATCTTAGAAGGGGGAGAAAAAAACCTAAGACTGAAATATCTTTTTCTAAACTTTGCTACATTAAATTGCTCATTATTTTAGGAAAGCCAAGAATATTCTCAACTTTTTAGAAAGTACTATGCACAGCTCTTAGTGTATTTGGCTGTACTCAGCAAATGTTTTATTAATATTAGCAAGAAATTACATGGCCCTTAACATTTGAAAAGGATCTTAAATTTTAATGTATTTGAGGAAACTCATGAGCTAAGTAAATCTGTATTACCATTTTATGAGGAACTGGCTGAACATAAAGATATAAAATGTTTTTAGGCCACGCTGTTAGGTCTCTCTTTAAAGCCATTGTATTAGAAAAACTCAGTTTAATCTGCCTCCTGTTAGTCTTTGTCCTGTGTATCTCTTTACTGCTGACACAAAACACTTTACTTTTAGTCACCGAATGTATAGAGATTTTTCTTTTCTCTACACAAGCAATTTTCGGTGACACCAGCTGAGACACTACAGTTTAACTCAGTTCTAACCCTGTCTACTTGGAGATAGTGTCAGACCCCACAGATTTAAGGATTCAATCTCATAAGACTGGTCCCACTAATTTAGATGCCAATTTCAGGTAGCCGATCCCCAGGTTACTCATAATAACTTCTGTCTTTGACTACAAATTTGACTACGAATTGGAGGTTCCCATGACCACCTCCTCAGGTTTCATTAATTTGCTAGAACAGCTCACAGAACTCAAGGAAACAGTTACATTTACCAGTTTATTAAAGGATGTGATAAAGGATACCGTTGAAGAGCCAAATGAAGACATACATAGGGCAAAGTCTGGGAGTGCCCCAAGGGCAAGAGCTTCTGTCCCTGTGAAATCAGAGTATGTTGCCTTCTCCATGTGGATGTGTTTGCCAACCTGGAAACTCTCGGAACCCTGTACTATTAGGATTTTGTGGTGGCTTCCTCGTGTAGACATAATAGATTATTAATTCCAATTCCATTTCCTCTTCCTTTTTTAGAGGATGGAGGAATAAGACTGAAAATCCTAAGCTTCTCATCATGGCTTGGTAGTTCTGGTGACAAGTTCTTACCTAGGAGCCCACCCAGGATTGTATCATTGGACAAAAGATACTCCTAGTAGTCTTATCACTTAGGAATTTATGAGCCTTGTGTCAGGGATGGGGTCAGAGAACAAAATATCAGGACAAGAGATGCTCTTTGTGTTCTTATTGCTTGGGGAATTTCAAGGATTTCAGGAGCTCCGTGCCAGGAACCAGGGGCAGATACCAGTGTATATTTTCTAGTATCTCA